CGCAGAGGGGAGCAGCGCCGGGCGGGCCGGGGTGCTCCCTGCCTGCCCAGGGCTCCGCTGCCAGGGCGAGGGATTCGCGGTGAAGTTACTACAAGGAATGACTCAGCCTGGCAGCGCCTCCGTGCTCGCCCTCGGCGGCGGTCGGGCGAGCGCCGTGCACAAGCGTTGTGTGTTTACAAACGTTGTTCTGCCTCTCCCTCGGTTGTTTACTTGGTCCTGCTTCCGAGGAAGCATGTGTCTTGTAATGAATTTTCCCTTCGGTTTTTTCTTAGGGCTCTTTAGTAGACTTTCAGGCTGTTCTGTGGATCAGTGCTCACTCTTCTTTCTCGCTGACCCCCAAAAGTACTGTCTGCAAGTGATCCAGAGATAGAAATACTAATATCGGAGAATTAAACGAGCTGACCTTTGTAACGTTCATGTTTCTTACTTAACATCATCTAAACATGGAATAAAAAGTTATGTCTGGTCCCAAGAAACCCAGAAATGTTAGTTTATACCTCATATAACCATAGCTTTTTTTTCTCTTGTGTCATTTGTTTTTGTCTGAAGTAATTACATGGTATGTCCTGGCTGTGAGCCATTTCTTGTGGCTCATATTTTAAGCTTTCACCTTTGTTTCTTTATGGGAAAGAGTGAGGAGGTTGAGGTTTGTTTTTTTTCCCTTGTATTTGCATATATGTGTGTCAGAAGTAGTTTGTGCTGTTGGGTTTGTGGAAGGACTTTATGCTTCTGGTGGTGTGTGCTTAACTATATGGTACTTCTGCAATGCTGGAGAAATAGCAAGAATGGAAAAGCATGTTTCAGACAGTTGAATTTTATACAGCTGAGAAGTACTGTGAGGAATATCACTATAAATAGAATTACAGAATGGCCTGTGTTAGAAGACACCTTAAAGATCATCTGGTTCTAACCTTCCATGCCATGGGCAGGGACACCCTCTGCTAGACCCAGTTGGTTAAAACCACATCCAGCCTGTCCCTGAACACTTCCAGGGATGGGACATCCCACAGCTTCTCTGGGCAACCTGTTCTGTTGTCTCACCATCTTCACAGTAAGGAATTTCTTCCTCATATCCAATGTAAACTTACACTCGTTCACTTTAAAGCTGTTGCTCCTTGTCTTTTCATGTACATATCCTCCTAAAAAGCTCACTTCCATACATCATGGAAGCAAATTATAATAATGATCATAGTAATAATGAAAATGTGCACTATTATAGTATATTTGAGTTGTGAATTTTAAGAATAGTTAGTAAGTAATACCTTGGGAAATTTTTCAAAGATGAAGCACATGAAGAAATGACCTTACTCTTATCTTGAGGTCTAATACAAACTTTTGTGCCAAGAAGCAAATATTAACAAGAAAGAATTTAGATATTCTAACATCATTAAGTTTAGATTGAAATGCACACAGGGTGTATTTGTACTTACTCTAAATGTTGCCTGGAACTCAAAATAGCTTTATTTTATAATGCTGAGAGTAGTAAAGAAAATTACTTACTGAAGAACACATGGTAAGGGACTTCAGCTGTGCCAGTTTTAAAGCTGGAAATACAAATGAGCTCTTTTGGGTAGTGGATTATTGTAAGATAGACCTAACTGTGCTTTGGAAGTATGTTATTGTTGTCCACTCTGTACAAGTAGCTGTGTGTTTTGTAGATTGTAAAATAGCAATCTATCTTAGTCACAATTGTGTTGATCTAGGCTTGTGCTCAGCACAGTTTTGGGTTAGTAGTTTCTGAGATCATGTTCAAGGGGCTGTCTCTCTCCCCATGTCAGGTTACTCTATTTATAATTAGAAGTGTATGCAGCAGACTTGTGCTCTGGCTGGAGAAGAGGGCAAGGGTTATTTTGAGGTCTTTTGTGGTGTCTGTTTAAAAAATGGTGTGTCCCTGCATGTTGTCTGAACACAGCTGTTTCATAGCCTTGCACAAACTAAGGTGGAAAACATAATTTCTAAACTGAACTTCAGTTATTTTGGTTAAATAAGGGACTGAGTGTATGTTGGGGATAAGGGAGTAGCGCATGTTGATTTGTTTTTGATAAGAGTGGCAGTTACAGTGGAATCACTGGAAAGAATTTTTCTGTATGTTATCAGTGTGTCCTTAAGCCTTTATTTGGTTTTAAACCAGCAGTTACTTTCTGTGAAGAACTGTCTTGGAGTGGTATGAGGGTCTTGAGACCCAATTGCACAAGATGGGTTCATTAGCATGTTGAGGTAAAGTGAAAACAAATTAAAATGAAAAACTATAGCTTGTGTACCCAGTTGTTACTCGAGCCACTTCAGTCATTTGGATAGTGCCCAAGCAGTCATGCGTCTCCTTCTGCATTTGTAATATTGCTCAAGAAAGTTGTGCTCCTAATTTTTGGTCCACAGCTCTGTGACATTATATGAATGGTTTCTGAAGATGAGGAGGAGACAAAAAAATAATACCATACTACTTTCAAGGAGCCTGTTAATAGTTAGCAATCTGATGCAAAGTTGTTAATCAGTATTACTGAGTAGCAAACACTTGATTACAAGATGCCAACTTACATAATAATATTGTATTATACTGCGGGATGTGATTGAATGCAGTGATACCAAACAGGCCAAAAAAAAAATAAATCATTGATATGTAAATTACTAATCCAATTACAAGAATTACAGAGTGTCTGTTTTCTAGCTGATTTGCCAGACTAATGATTTTGGTGTACAAGTTGAAAGATCCTCACATAAATTGTGTGTTGTAAAAGCCTATAGCACGATTAATGGTGATAAAGAAATTGTTAGCAATTACTTTTGTGAGCTAATTAAAATTCTGTGGTTCCTGAGAAAGTCACTTGTCTATTTATGAGTTAATTCATAGTGCAGATCCACTCTTTATTTAGTTTTTATTTAAATTTTAGTTTTTTTTAATGTAGTTCAGTTGAAAGGCAAGTTGGAAGACATCATAGCCATGTACCAGATCTTTTTATCTTTTTTATTTGTAAGCAGGGTTGGAAGTGTATGTGCTTGGTGTTTTCTAACAGGATTCAAGCATAAGTATATTGTTACTGATACATGAATAATACTTCAATACTAATTTTTGTAAGTTGTCAATAGAAATACCAAAACACATTTATTGATGCCACATTTACATTCATAGATTGAGACAGGGCTGGTCAGAAGAAACACTGGGGCTGTCAGGGCAATTCTTGCTTGTCTTCCATCCATCTCCAGGTGTGTATTTTCCTCTTGTTCAGGTTTGCAGGGTTGTGAGCTCAAGCTACCAGCTCAAGCAACAGCTCAGTGTAGCTTTTTATGACCATCCAAGATGCTGACAGTTTCTTTTGGAAACAGATTTTGCAGCTGGGCCTGCTGTCTTTATCGCATCAAGGTGAAACGATTATGGTGTGCTATATATAAAGCTCTAGCAGTTTGTGCATCTAGGAAATAAGCTGTGCTAGAATGTGGTAGACTGTTTTCTGTGAATTAGTACAAATAAGTACAGAAAAGGCCTGTTTGAGTGCTGTATGAATTTCTTTCTGAACTGCACTAGTGGAAAGTAAAATGTAGAACTGCTTTGTCGACTAGTTTGGTTCCAAAAGTCCTGCATCTGTCTTGCTGTGTAATGCTATAGGATCAATGAGAAGAATGGTGTGTGAATATTTGTGAGCAGCTCTGCCTAAGTAATGTTCTAATGTTTTTTTAACTGACTTCAGAATGTGGATTTTTTTTCTCTTTATAAAATAACTCATGTTTTCTTGCCTTTTCAAACTTTCTTTTAAAACAGTATTTTTGCTTTTTCAGGAGAATAGGAAAGCTGTAGTGGTGATAGTGACATAGTGTGTTCAGTATTTCGACTGCATGTTGCTTTTATTTGGAGGGATTACATGGAATTAGTATCTTTATGATACATCAATCTTCATTATTTTTCTTGACGATGTGTTTGACAGGCCAGTATGCTGTTTTCATTTTGAACAGATTGAACATGATTTGTATTTTAGAGGTAGAATGCAGTATTGAAGAACTAATTATAGGGAGAGTTTTACTTACATCATTAATTCAAAAAATCATACCACTCTTAGCAAAGCAAAAATAAAAATTCTGTAAGACTTGCACTTTGCTGAGGTCTGATTTTTGAATGTTTGAGTTAGCTGTTTCTGAGTTCCCAAATTCTGTTTTGATTTAGTTCCGGGATTGAATATGTTATGCTCTTTTGTGTTGCAGTTATAGCTGTAGAATTTTTTTGCTCTTTATCACTGGAATGGTGACTTTCAATGTCAGTGGTTTATCTCAAACTTTGAGTTTGTTGATTCCAAGTAGCTGTGCTGGTGTGTTGTAAGTGTGAAAATCTGACCCTTATTTATTATAGTTGGCTTAGGATAAACAATTCATGCTGACAAAATGGTGCTTTTATTTATACAGTTTTTCTTCCATCCTCCACAGCATGTATTTTTATTAAATTCAGATGAAGATTCTTACATAAGAATATATTGTGTAACAGAACTAGAAGCTGTCTTCTAATACATTGTGCTTATGCTATATTGTAAGTGTTCTACTAGTAAATTCAAGCTGACTTATCTATTTAAAAATATTCTTTACAAGTACTTGTGTTGTCTACTGATAGAGACTCGATTCTCACCCAGTCAGTGGTTTGAAAATATGACTCAAAATTCTCAGTTCTGTCTGAATGAAGTGGGGGAGGGGTAGTGTGTAAACTTTCTTTTTTATATGAAAGGCTTGGTGGTAAAATACCTATACATTTCAAAAGGTAAATGTATTGTGACAGCATTTCCACACGCATGTTATGGTTCTAAACAGCACAACCAGGGTTTAATAAGGCAATTACAATACCTCAATTATTGTAAATTGTATTTTTCTTTGGTTTTCTTGGGGTTTCTTTGGTGGTTGTGTAGTTCTTAAGTTGGTAAAACTGCATGAAAGGATTTATCTGTGCACATTGTTAAAGTTATAAACTAGCAAAAATTTATATTCCAGAAAGGTAAAGAAGGAAGATGAAAATTAGAAAAAAAACCTTCTTGAAATTAGAGACAATTTAATATTCTGCAAACTATCCTGCAGCTTTTCACATTTCTCATCACATTGCTGTTATCTTCTTTCACACTGTTGCCAATAGAGTTCCAAAGGTGATTTGTAAATATGTGATATCCAAGAAGAGTTAGTAAACTGATCTGAGAAGAATATGACATTTCTGAATATGTATTCCTAGGGAGACTGGGGGTTGTATGAGCTCTGCATCTTGCTGGTGGTCATTTACTTTCAGATACCACTGAAAATAAAAGAATGTTGATGAATAGGGGGAGGTTGGTAGGTGACATGTGAGTTATAAGTAACTTAAAAAAGAGAAATTTGATAAATTCTATCTTCAGATTGTGGAAGTTAAAATACTAATTTTATAATTAATATAGGATAAGAAAAATTTGAAACAAGTTTGAAAGTTGCAAACCAATTAAACAGTTTACCAAGACGGTAGTGGATTTCCTTATTACTAGAAAACATTTATTTTTTTTTTAAGATCTGATTGCTTATGGATAGAAATTAAGGAAGAACCTGTGACTTTAAGGTAGGCAGTCAGACTAAATCACAAGGATCTTTACTTGCCTTACATTTCATTATTGTCAATCTTTGACTTTCTTTTCCATCTGTAGTGTTTTTATTCCTGTGAAGTAAATGTCATTTAATCAGTCTTATGTTTTGTATTTTTGTCTTTTAAATAGTTCTGGCCAAGATATTTTTCTTTTCCACATAAAAGTTGTCGCATTAGGATGTTGTACCTAAAGAGGGAAGAACAGGGGAAATGGCCTCCTAGACGGTATTTTGAGCAACTCTGTCCTTAGTTGCATCCGTAGTAATTACAAATTTTTAAGTTATCTTAGCCTGTGCTGGTTTGGGTTTTTTTACTAGGTTTCCAGGAAGTGATCTATTAGTAACTGAGGATGGCACAAGCTATTAGAAATATGAATGATACCTTCTGAAAATTTTCACCTGTCTTCTTGAATGATGATTCTGATGTTGAGTATCATCTGTACTCATTGGCCTCTTTGCAGCCTTCGTTGAAGTGTAGTTTGTGAAGTTATGTAATGAACCAGAACATGGAACTAATCTGAGCTGTCAGTATCCTGGTGAAGTATGCTGTTTCTAACTTACTACAGCGAAGTCATCCAGTTTATTCCACAGAATACTGATAATTGAACCACTGAAAGATGGTGCAGGGAAAAGAACAGAAGGACTGGCTGAGGAAAGGGATTCATAAGTCTGGTGCTCTTTTTGTTACCAGAGTTTGTGGTCTTGGTTGATCAGAGAGAGTGTTAGTGGAAGAAGTGTTGGTGCCGACTTGTCTGAGTTGGGTATTAGAAAGAATGGAATTTTTGATGTCTGTTTCTTGCAGAATTGTTTGCAAACAATGGAAGATTTTATATGCAAATTACTTTAAAGAGTATGTACCTACAAGAAGAACCTTCCCACCACTCTGGAGTCAGTACCTTGAATAAAACCACCTGAAGCTCCATGTACCCAAGAGTACCAATCTTTGCGAAGAGAATGTATTAATCTCTGTAATTCAAGGGAGGCTTGTACTCCACAAATGCTTTGAAATGGCAAAATTATACATTAAAAACAGAAAAATCTGACAAAACCTTCAGTTAACTTTGTCAAAAACTAAGGTGCAGACAGCTGTGTAAAGATTTGTTTCCATCAATTAAAAACAAAAAAAGGAAATAAAGAAAAGGGATACTTCTACAGGCTGTGGGCTGTTTCCTAGCAATAAGATTGTCAGAAATCCTAGGTTTGTTTTCTGGCTTGTACCTGCTAACTGAGGCACAGAAATTTCATTTTCTATCATGTAAGAGATGTGAGGCATTGAAAAATATGGTAAAATTGTATTTACTGTTGGAAGAGGAGAACTTTTGTCTGATCTGTTAAATGGACTGTGTTTTGGCAGCTTCTCAACTCAGTGAAAACAGCAGTGTAAATAGATGCTAACCATCAGATTGGAAGCTTTGTAATCACGTCCATATGGAATCATGACACAGTGCCTGATAATGGGCTTGTTGCTTTATGAACATGTTTGAAGCTATTGCATTCCTAGAAGTTTTGTTTGAACTTGTGAGATGCTGCATTGTTTTGGGCCGCACTGATTTCAAAGCCCATTCTTTAATGCACAGTGTTTTCTTGTCTGCCCAGGTTTGCTTTTGATCTGCTCTTTCACTCTTGATGTTGCTGAGGACCTCTGAAGGCATTGCAGCACCTACTTAGCTGAATGAGGAGCTCCCATGTAATTCAGATTTGTAGGAGCCACTCTGAATATGATGGCCATATGTAACTGAAATATTAGATCAGTAATATATAAAATGATTCATCTTAAAGGAGGGGAAGCAGGGAAAGGAAGCCTCTTAGACTGTGAAATACTGAATTACTGACTTTTGAAATTCCTCTGTTGTGAATTGGGATGTAGGGGTTTAGGAATGTGTTCTGGTTTGTGTGTGCAGGATTGTAGCTTGGCTTTTGGGTTGAGTGGAAAAGACTTCCTTTGCTGACCAGCAGCTGAGTTTGAGAGCTGTTAAGAACACAGTGACTGTTGGAGATGCTGTAATTAAGTAACCGCCTCTGTGCCTGATGCACATCTCAACATATAAATAGAGCTCCAGATGGCACCTTACAGATGTCAGGGATTGACAGCCTTTCTTTAAGACTACAGTGTGGCTTGAACATGAGGTTTAGAGGCTTTGATATAAGGTGGTAATGGGAGATAGGATCTCTACCTTCAGTAATATGTATCTCAGTGATTAAATATGGTCTTTTGATTAAATTTATTTTGGAGGAGTAGGAGAATTAAATTAGTCTCCGCAGCTGGGTCAGGAGGAGCACTACTACTTACTCATCACACAGCTTAGGGTTTTTAGTTTTTTTGTGTTTTGTTTTGTGGGGTTTTTTTTTTTTTAGTTTTTCTTTTAAGTTTTTAAGTGCCTTTTAAACACATTTCCTTTCAACAGTTGTCGATACAGAGAATGGTATGCATTTGCACTGTAGTTTAGAAACATAGCCATTTCTGTTGCATAAAGCTCTACTAAAGAATGCATGGCCTCTTTCTGTTCTTCTGGTGGTGGTAGTAGTAATATTCTGCAAAATTAAGGTATTTTTGGTTAGATGCGTTAGGTTGCAGTATTGAAGAAAGATCCTTGAAGCCTACTTTTAGAGAGGATCTTACAAATGACATTAAGAAAGGTGTTAGTTGCATTAAATTTAGCTTCAGTTTCTATTTTCATTTTCCTTTGATTTATGTGCTATAAAATACTCTGCTTTTGGGGTCTGCCACCTGGAGCAAGAGAGCATTTTTTGAGAAGGGCACTTGGAAAAAAAAAAGTGGAGGTAGAAGGCAGGTTTATAGAAGAAAACAAAATTAATTGTAAGGAATATTCTGCACTGGTCTTGTACCTTTGTCTATTATAGAGTTGCTTAAGTCCAGGTGAAGCAGGAAATCCCACTCTGAAAGGTGACATCAAGAAACTGTAGCATCTGAAGGTAAACCTTAAGATTTGCGGTATGGAAATGAAGCACAATTTAATAACATGCTAATGTGATCCAAAGTTGACTCCATCTCGAGAAGTAATAAAGGCATATTGGCCTTGCGGGGAGATGTTGCTCAGATAAGATATTTTTTGAATGAAGGATAGCACTTGAATCTTTTTAAACATGTCACAGACTTGTCAGCTTTTGCCTCAGATGAATTGCCCTTTCAACAGGCAGAAATTCTGTAATGGTGTCTTATGAGACTCCTGACCTTGGAAGCTTGGGGTAACATTTATGACTCATATAGCAGACACTATTACCTGCAGTGTAGCCTCAGCACTTCTGCAGTAAGGGAAGTGAAACTTCTTTATCAGCAGCACACAGATGGTGATCACACAGAAGCATGTGAATGTCTAATAGCAGTGTGGAAACACAGGCACTGTGTGAACAGTCTTGCCTTGATCAGGTAATTCAGCTAGTTCTGTCTGCTTTCAGGCTTGAGCTCATTTTGACCTGGACATACCCACAGGGGGAGGAGAGTTTGTGCCTCTTGGTTCTGTCTGACCTGGCAGACGAAGCACTGATAAGTACTACATTTAGCATTTAGATGTGGAGCAGCACTTCCCTGGGAATAAAAAGCAAGATACCGTATACTGCTTGTATGCGTAACGTTGCTGTTGTGGAGGGAAGTTTACGACCCTGAGTTTAAAGGAAAGCCAGTACTTTGGCATAGTTCAGTTTAAATTGTATTGAATTGTTAAAGAAAAATTTATCAGTATCTCTGTTTGTTCAAGGTTAGTTTGTAATCCAGATTATAAAGGAAGTATGGGAAATGAGATGTCAGAAGCATGAGCGTGAACAATTAAGGTAATACGGAGGGAACTTAATAGCTAAAGTGAAGTTGATTAATGTCCCATTAAACCCAAACAGCATAAATGTTGGTTTCTATCTTTGTCCTGCTCTGAATACCATGATTCAGTGTTTGGGTTTGTGAAGTTGGAAAGGATTGTACCATGAAACAATGGAACAGTCAGTATTGGGTAATTAGAAGCAGGGATTATTTAAGGGCAGAAATGGATGGTTAATGTAGCCATAGGATTATTTGTAGGATGCTGTGAAACCTGTGATGCTGGTGCTGTAACGGCAAAAGGAGTCTGTAAACAGAAATTAATTTCCTTTTAGGGATGTAACAATGAGCAAGTTCGGAACTGAGACACATCTCAATACTTGTAAACAGCATGTGTTGACAGTGTTGATCAACACCGACTTCAAAAGTAGTTAGTTGTTGAAGAGCTATTATTGTATAGGAAAAGATTGCAGTAATTGCATTGCAATGTAAATAGAGTGTAGATCAGTGAAATATATGTTACAACCAGCACAATGTATATATGACTGGTTTTGGTGTTTTATTAACTAATATGACAATATACGTATTTTCAATTAATTATGGAAATTTTTTGTACTTTGTGCCATTCTTACATTTTTGTCATTTCATTTATTTTCTTTTGTTTATGCCTACTTTATTCTGTCTGATCTGGCAGCTGTTACAGAAAATTTCAATTGTTCAGCTATTTTTTTTTTTAATGGTATTACTGATAATTCATGGCAGTTGGTCATACAGACTTCTATCCCATAGTGTGAAGGATCTCGTTTATATGATAGCATGAATCTAATGCTCCAAGTCATGGAGCACAAATAATCTGGGTGGATTAGTCATTTGTGATTTTGTTTGATTATATAGGTAGCAGCTCTGTCTTCAGTAGCTGTCAAATTGTTGTTGAACCTCTATTAAAATAAATGAAAATAATTCCAACAACATAACACTAAAAGCCTTGAAACTTGTAACATTACATAAGAGTTTAAAGCTGAAAATAAATAAATAAAGCCTGATACTCTCCTAATGGCCTGTTGTGGTAATACAGAGGAAGAAGAAAATGTGTATGGATATATTCTGTTGAAGCTTAATGGTGTGACTTTCACTCCAAGATTATGTTGAGAACTTCTGTTACTGCTGGATGATGATAATATTCTGGAATGTTTGGAAAAATCTTAAAGGCTGGTCTGTGATATGTAGCTGACCTTCCCTGTAATAGTCTGCAATAGCCTGACCTTGGAAAGAAAAGAAACTTAGGCAACTGCTGTAGGTTTTCATGCATATCCTCTGTAACTTTGAACACAGTCATGCAGATGTTGTCCAGAGATGCAAGACTAGGGAGAGCTCTCATAATTAATTCTCTTCCAGTGTTGTGAAGACATGCAGCTGGAGAGAGGAACTTGACATAGTTCCTGCTGAAGGGAAGAAGGGCTGCATCATGTCTTTGTTGGACGTAGGTGAATCTGCAGGAGAGGTTGCTCTTTATTGCATGTATTCTCTGGAACCTTGTATACATCATTTCCTCTTCCTGAAGGCGTCCACTGAAGTTTGTAACAACCTTGAGAGTGGGTGAATTAAGTAAAATTTTGAAATTTTGTGAATTCTGGTTATTTCCCTTTGCTTCCGATAAAATGTCATGTGTTCATCTTGCATAGGAGTGAGGAGGGAGTGGACAAAAGGGAGGAAGATAGTTCTTTTGTTTCATGACCATAAAATAATTTTTTCCTTTATTAAGGTTTTCAAGTGTGGGATGGAGTGTTTTTGATTTACCTCTAGTAGCATAGGTTATATGAAATGGTTTATATGTTCTAATGGTTTTCAGGCTTCACCAAGCCTATTTTTAGTAATGGATTATCACCCTTTATAGTGCCTGATCATCTTCTCAGAAAGCTTGCTAGGGCATTAACATGATAGAAATAATGTTTGCTTGCGGTTTGGAGTTTGTGCACTTGCTTCACTGCCCTGAGCCCAACAGC